TATATATATATATATATATATATATATATATATATATATATATATATATATATATATATATATATATATATAGACACACACACATATGCATACATACATACATACATACATACATACATACATACACACACACACACACATATACATACACGAATCGACTCCAGTCAGTGAGATGACATGCTCCGCGGTCAGATGATTGGAGTCGATATATATAGCCACTCTTGATGAAGGTGCTACTTCAAGATTGAATACTTAAATCTTGGACTCTAGTCAAATCCCCAAGATCAGAATTGTCTTATGGAAGCGTATAAATGATAAATCTCCTTTTACCACTTAATCGCAAAATATTAGGCCTATGCACTTTTATTGGGTGATTCAAATGAAAACGATATACAATATTGTAATCTGATTAAAATGTGGAAAGATGCCAAAAAGAAAAAGGATAAACATGGAAAGCACTACTCAAGCAATATAGAAACTAGAAAGCACCTGAAGGAATATCAATATTGTCTCTGTTCTCATCACTTGAGCAATCCTCGACAATGAAATTTTCAACAGCATCTTCAAGCTTTGTAGCATCTATGTTTTCTTTCATTATTTGCAATATCCAAGGATGGTTCCATATCTACGATCAGTCATTTAGTTGTGTTCTATCCGTATTACAAGCACAAACTCATATGCAGCATGTGACTTGAAGCAATGGGCTCCCCATTTCCCTAGACAAGTTTCCTAATATCTTTTTTTATCACACAAGTTTCCTAATCTAGTGTAGTTTGGTTTAGTTACTGCCTATACTTTCATGGCCAAGTAACCCAAGTATTTTTTATTTGTTTTTTAGTTTTCAACAACTGTCTTCGTGAATTAAAAACTGCTGAGAGACTAGGACTCTTGAAATAAAAGTTACAGTGGTGTTGCATGGTACTAAGCTCTCCTATAAGAAACCTTTTGTATAATTTTCTTTGTAAAGGAGAAAGCTTAACAGACACTACAAAGACAATTTTGGTGGAAAATCTTTCTTCACAATGTTCATATCCATCCTCTGGACAAATCCTTTTAATTGCTCATAGGTAATATGAGATTTTTGGTTCATAAATAGAATTGGTGTTGACATCCTCATCAGTAGATCTTTGGTAGGTCTTTTTTCACATCATCATTAGTAGAATTGGCGTGTTGAGCATTTTCTATAGGATTCTTAACTCTACACAAATGTTTAAGATGGATGTGACAGACTTATTGGCAAAAAGAAAAAGAAGAAAGCCACACAAAGCAGCTCTTACCAATTTCCAAATTCCTGGCTGCTTCCAAGAAAGCCTTCTCTAACAAAATCTACCATCTATAACAAAAAATGAGATAAATAAACAAATAGCTACTAGGTCATTACTAAGTAAATGAGGTGCAGCTTTAATGTAGCCTTACACAATAGTACTCCATCAAGTTGTTCTGCCGAGGAGACCCAGTTAAAGTGATCCGTCTCTGACATTTTTCTTGTTTCAAGGCCTTTGTGACGTCAGCCCTGGTATTTTTTATGATATGAGTTTCATTGCACACTAGTATATCCGGCCTATCCTAGCAATTACATGTGGTTTTTGACAATCTCAGAATAAGAAACCCAAAAGGGGAAGAAAAAAGAGTGTTATACCAGTGAATTAATGGAAAATCTTTAACAGAAAATAGATGCATAAGCACCAGGAGGATGTGCCTTAGTTTATGCTACTTGTGAATGACATAGTTTTGATTGATGAGTCCCTTAGTCGGGTTAACAATAGATTGGAATTGAAGTTTTGATAGCTACTTTTGAATCTGAAAGGTTTAGATTGAGCAGGACAAAGACGGAGTACATGGAGGGCAAGTTCAACGGCAGGACACCAGAGTTGGGCGTGGTAGTGAAGATTGAAGTGCAAACTATACCTAGACGAAAACGATTCAAATACCATGGTCTCACGTCTGTAATACAAGGGGCCAGCAAGATGGACCATGTCACGCACCATATTAAAACGTCTCAAATACCTTATTGGCCACCGCATTGATGCAGTTTTTTAATGTTTTCTTTTGTGTTTTCCATTAAATCATTCCATGTGGTGGAAGTCCCCTGGAGTTCACCAATCATTTTCCAATTAAACTCTCTAGCACCAATGTACCAGCTTAAAATTTTCACTTTTTTGTATTGCACGTCAGATGGGAAGGATCAGGATTGTCCCTTTGCTAAACCATTGAATTGTTTCACTCAATGCCATGATCTTAATGCACTCTCTGTCACAAATAACTAATTTACTGATCAGAAGAACTGTAGGAATAAAAGGTGGAGTGCAGATAGCGTCACACAAAAAAACAGGCCCAGTAAAATGTTTGGTGAAGGTGTGTGTATCCAGACATTACTCCTACTTGGAATTGAGAAAAAAAACAGAATAAATGTGGAATTGAGAAAATATTTTTGCTGGTACCTGGAGTGACTATCAGATTTCTCTTGCAATTTGATGGTCCTTTATATTTTTTCCCAAAGACAGATTTCGAAAAAGCAGCATAGCCAATTAAAAAAACACCACCTTTAGATCTCCATTTCTGCAGCAATTCAGATCTCTTCCCCCTGAAAAGGGGAAAGAAATACTTGAATGGATTGGTGAATGAATAAATGCACAAGTTCCTTCCTTAAAGATTATGAACTAATTTTGACTTTATTACAGAGTATTTTAGAAATCAGTAAGGTACTCATTGAAAGTGTCAAATAGATCCAAAAAAATAGCAACTGTGCATAGGACAGCAAATTAAAAACCCTCCTTAGGCATAAAAAGTATGTCTCAGAATTATGAAAGACTTCGGGGGTTGTGGTAACTTTCCTTTGTTATAAAGCTTACTGCTTTTTCTATTCAACGTTAGGAATAAAAAGCAGGTCACCAGATTATGAAAAACTTGAAGTTGTTTTGTAGTGTTTTCTGTGTTAAGCTTCCTGCTTTTTGTTTTCAAAATGTTTTAAAATATAAAACATGTTTGGTAAATGGTTGTGTTCTGTATGTATAGTTTGGACTCCATGTGCTTCATAAAAATGTTCCACATTTCTTTTTTGAGTTGCGCAAAAATAAGGTTCAATTTTCTTTTAATGAAAGAATTGCGTGATTCACATTATGTATCTCTCCAGAAGCTCCCTCCTGCAAGTAACATGAACCAAAAACAAAGATTAGTGTGCTACTCACTCTGTCCCATTTGAAGAGTCCGGTGTCATCAAAATACAACTTTAAAATTTTGGGCAAGATATCACCACTATAAAACGTGGTATTTATCTTGTTTTATCAAAGACGACTTTTTTGGAACAAAAACAAGTCAAGATAGTGGACTCTCTTTATGGGACAGAAATATCTGTGGCATTGTTATAAAACTCAAAAGGTAGTATAAATATAGAACACAGTTGCCTAATAAGGAGAAACCCAAAACTTAAATGAGCCATGGCTCACCCGAAACTTAAATGAGCCATGTTATGCAAATTAAATTTCAGTAAAATATATTCAGATTCCCAAAGATGGTAAACCTGTGAACTTTGAGGTAATATGACTGCAGGTATGTCATATGACATGTTAGATGTAAAGCCTCTCAACCGTCTTGCAATGGTTCAGACAGAACTTGTTATGACATGTCACCACAAGTAGTTGAGATACATCACTCTGCCTGTTGAATAGTCCAAGTGAATCTGTGCACAGTACAACTATCCACGAATAAATTTAAGGTTCCCACTAAATTTATTTGGGTATCCCAGAATAAGATTTACACTCATTTCATAGAAACAATTGTGTAGGTGAAATTCTTTCTAACTTTTCCAATTTCCAAATAAATTTTAACCACATTATTTTACATCCTTAAATATCGTGCTCATTTCTTATGGAAACCTTAATTTAGGATTGAGGAAGTACCTAGAACTGAAGTTACCACCTTAAAGTACAACAGAACATCACCATTGAACAACAAAATATGTAGAATACCTCCAGCATACCTTTGACTTGTGGAACAAAATTGTACAGGTCAATGAATTCTACAGGCCACACAAGGTTGCATCACATTTTTGCAATATACCATCAACCTCAAGTAGAATTAACTTAGAGTCATTGAGAGCAATACGACTGCTTTCGCGGACGAGGTAACTGCACAATTCATGTCTAGGTGTTGGCATAAGTGACCTTAGTTCAGCAAGGGGATTTGTGATCGCTGAAGGACTATACAATTCTTTAGCAGGTTGCACGTGGTCCCACCAGAAGTCAGAAAGTGCTTTTTCCATGGCTTTCCAATATTCTTCGTCTCAATACAACCTAAACAGGCTACTCCCTTTGGTAGTCCAGATATATAGGTCCATCCAATCTCGATCTAAAATCTCCATCAAACCTTGTGCTTGAGGAATGTAATAAAGGGGAATTCTACTAAGAGGCCAAGCCTTAGTCATATCACCACCGAAGTATGGACATTTTATTTCCAAAACCCCTAGGGAAGGCAAACCATGGATAAATTTATCAATTACCCCATCAGGCGAAGCTGCAAGCCAACCTTCTTCTTCTGGATTCAATTTGTTTTGATGAACCTGAAAACCAATCATGGAGACATCATTGTTTCCAGTAATAAGCCTATATCTCTCAAAAGCTTCTTCTTCCTTGATATTGCTCCAACAAGTGGCTATGTTGCCGTAGAATGGTTCGATAGCCCCGATTTTCTCTAACCAAAGTTGAACTCTTCGGCGGGGCCAAAAGCCAACAGCTTGACTGAAAGTGCTTGCCGTCAATTTACACTTTCTCAAATGTTGCCAGTTTTTGAACCGGTTTTGTAAGCCACTTGATTCGAGAATCGGATGATGGTTCTCCAATGGATTAGCAGAACAGCTTATGTGCCTTTTACAGTGGTAAGAGTGCGGAGAAGTGCAGATGACCATAAAGATGTTACAACATTTGTGATTTGAAGAACATACAAAGCGATGACCAGCAAAACGCATAACCTTTCCTGAAGAATATATATATTACTTTCAAATTGGAAATAGAGCTAGAAAACATCTGCTATCATAAAAAATCCAATTTGATAAGAATCATTTCTATAAAATGGTTCATCTTCTAAGAACAGTATTTGAAGCTGAAAAAATGATCGAAAGAATAATGAGCAGTTCCAATAGCACTATTAATTGTTGAATAGAGCACGCAAAACAATAACAAAACAGTGAAAGCGAATACTACATTACTACCTTCAAACAAATGTAACAATTGAGGAAGTAAAGGTAGTTTTTTTGTGTGGAAAAGGAACCAAGCTAGCATGAGTATTGACATGACAACAAAACTGAGCCATGAGAGATTGATATGTATAGAAATATTGGGCAGTAATTATAATCGGGGTGTATTTCGTCCGGATTTGTATTTCTAAAAGATATTCTATAAATTTGAAATATTCGATGTGTCTTAGTCCTGCCCCCTAGAGGTGCAACCGTGCAAGGAAGAAATACAGCTAAGAATATAATTTTAAAAAAAAATCTAGATGAATGAACCCTTAAAAACAATTTTATCAGCCCAAAGAAAGACAAGAGGGTGTGTGGAATTAAATCTCTTATGCGCATATCTGCAACACAACCATCAGTGTGTTGAAATCTAAATGAAGACAAACAAATATAAGAAAACAAGCCTGGAAGAAATGTCTAAGAAAAATTCTAATAGTCTAGTTTTTCTTGACAACTGAAAAGCATCACATTTCTCACTAATGCTCCCTAAATTAGCTGAAAGCAATATGCAATAAGAAAAGTATAATACAAACTTTAAAGAACATCACATCTACTAAGGTAACAAGGTGTATTAGTTTGCATATGGAACAAATGGTCGATCATGCATGTTGGAGAAAATTTACCATGTTTTCCAACTGCAAATTGTTAACAAGAAGCACCATGTCTTACAAATGAGAAGACGGTCCATGACAGTATGACACACATAACATGCTCGAATTCCACGCTCTAGTTTAGCTCAATGCCTCACAATTCAAACTACATGACTTCACCATATAGATCTTTGGATATAATACAAAAAATGGAAAAGAAACATGCATCTTTATATATTGCTAGAAAGTACAGAGACAGTTTCCAAGAGACCCCTCTAGAATAACACTTTCAAAATGATTTTTTTGGCACGGTACAATGAATTACAATTTCATACATGTGATATGTCCACACAGGGATATCGGGTAATTAGTAACTTTTTTAAAGCGAGAAGCACACAAAATCAACAAGTTGAGGCTTTGCTTGCGAAAAAGCTGATGGAAACATTGCTTTCTCACAACATATCAATGCTTATAAATAAAAACAGATAATGTGTCAAACAAATTTAAGGCAGAAATAATTAAAGAATCAGAAAATCATGATAAAAATTCATGACAGTAGGCAATAACGTGCCGAAGCTATTGAGCAATTGAAGTGCTTCAAAATTTTGAAGGCTTCCTATCTGTTACAAGTTCAATTCTTAAGTGTTACAACATTTTTTTTGTCCTAGCATACGAAAGCATTCTTCTTTTTGAGATTTTCACCATAGTTATATATATAATGCATGGCATATCAAAATGTCTTAAACAGTAAATTGAAAGATTAATACACAAATTGAAAATAGAAATGTTAACTATTAGCTAAAGAAATTGTAACTATTAATATTAATTAATTGAATAATACACAAATTAAAAAAATAACAAATATATCCTTAGTGACCTGATGCTGCTGCACTGAGTCGCTGACCAAGGAGGGATGCTCGGAAGTTGTGACTCTGGGAAGGAGAGACGCTAGGAACCTGCAACTTCGGAGAGTAGGAGCAGAGTCGAAGCTGGGAAGCTGGGAAGGGGAATCGATGGTTGATTAGAAGAGAGGATCGGCGAAGAAGACAGAAGAGTGGAAGGGAATACGATCGATTAAGGGAGTGGATGAATGGTAAATCATTTAATTACAAACGGGCTTAAGCCCAATTTAATTAATCCATTCGATTCTTAAGGCTCAACAGCGAAAAAAACTTGCACAGACCTGTATGGCAAGAATTGCACTCGCCAAACGCCATAAGACGCAGCGAGAATGGAAAACGCCTTTCATCGCCTCAAGGACATCGCCATGCACAGCCTTATCCAGGCGTTAGAGCCTCGCCACAGCGCCATAACCGCCATAGGCGAGCATGGCGCTCGCCATTCATAACCATGATTTTCACAATTAGTATTTTCAATTTTAGTTTATATGCACCTATATATTTTATGGAATTAATTAATATTCAGAATCGTATTTCAAACCCTAAAACATCTAACATTTGGTGTTACAACAATCTTATTTATAGTCTTAAATTGCATTCAGTTCAAATAAGAAAATTTCAGATGAGAAACACAGAGTATTTAGCAACTACATCAATTCATATGACAATACTAGTGACAAGGGCCGGACCGAACAACAAAAGGACCCTGTGCAAAACATAAGTCGGGCCCTTTTGTACCTCATAGTTGCAAAATGTTATATAAATTTTATACAAATTATAATATTTCCTACAACAAAAAAGCAAATAAAAAAACCTAAATAATAATTTACATTAAAATAGACATCCCCACGACATATTAAGATACAAAATCATCAATCAAATTATTAATTACTATTTCTTCTAAATTCTCACATTCATTTTATGTCAAAGTCAATCCATTGAGTCTCTCTTGGGAGATAGTTGGATGTAAGTAATTCTTCAACACTTTAACTCTAAAATGAAAAAAATTGAAATGTTTTTTAAAGAAAAGAAATTACTCGTACTATTTTACTGATTTGTGATAAATAGATTTCTTTTTATTTGATAATAAAAAATTAAGATAAAAACACGAGCTTATAAAGAAATAAAGCATCAAACGAAAATTGAAAAACAGATGCTTGAAGGGAAATTCACTGATACGGAGTAAGTAATAAAGTTCATTCAGAATATGGGATAATCAGTTCAACCATTGACGAAAAAATGTGAAAGAATAACTCAAGCTCTTCAAAAATGATAGTGAAGCACTCAGTATTCAGTTATTCCAAACTAGAAATATAAACCAAAGATTTTAAGGAAATCACACCTTTAGAATTAGGGAATCCGAACAGAGATTGCTGCCCCGGACAAACCCCACCACCGTCGCCTCTCCTCCGCCCGGCGCCTCGCTCGCTCAATGTCTCAGACTTTCCGATTCCATGTCGCGATTCTCACTGTACATGTAATCGGCTGGGACGGAGAGCAGGAAACTGTGAGATGATATTTTCGACTTTGGGCCATTAGAGCTAGGGTCCAAACTTGTATCATGACTCAAACAATATACGGAGTATGACTGTTTAGACATTTGAAATCAGTGCGAGTGATTTGGTCTATTTCGAACACTGTCGATGTAGAGGTTTCAAGAAATAATATGGTTTCAATACAATATCTTTATAAAAGTACGTTAAGTACATATGTAACGCCCCAAAGTTTACCCTAAAAGTTATAATGAATTTTTAATAAATTGTAATTTCAATTTTCATTTAAATGAAATCAACGTCAAAACAAAAACGCTAAATAAGATATTTTAAAATATTCTTTTAATCGTTCAAGTTTATACTCAAATTGAAGGTCTCGATGAAACGAGTTCAACAACATGTCCCGCGTGTGAATCTGAGTTGCGAAGGTTAGAGGTTTGACTGTCCGAGACCGAAAAGATTATAAAGAAAATGAATACAAAAACAAATATGACGTAAACATAGTTTTATCCAATGAAATTTGGGTTTTTGGATAGGTCTCGGAAAAAGATGATTAACGACATGTTGTTTGTCAAGTTTGGAATTTGGTGTGAACCGTGGTGAGTGAAATAGTGAATACAGTTCAATAAATAAATATAAAGATTTTATAATATAAAATAATTGGGTACCATTCCATGTTTAGTCCCAGAGGAAACATGGTATTTGAATCCTTATTATGTGCTTATGTGAAAATTGTTATAGTGACTCATTTGTTAATTAACATGTGGTTTATTAAAAAAAGTCATGTGTAAAAAAAACATAAGCAAGAGAAGATTGAAATGATAAAAAAAATTTAAAAATGTTCGTTATGGAAAAACAAAATGAAGTGATTCCATAAAGTGAATTGTAAAAAAACTCAATTCACTATTACTCGTGACGACTAGTGCGATCGTGTTAAAAAAACTCATGTGTCATGTTCTGAACAGGTGCGTAGGCGACAAAAACAAAAAAGGTTGTCGAGAGTTCTAACCAATCACTTTGAGCGGGATTGGTTAACTTTTAAGAAGTTAATTGAATTTGCCAAAAAGAAAAGAAACGAAAAAAAAGAAGAATTTCAAAAAATAATATTGTCTCAAGAAATGTCTTTTTAAAAAAAAGACAAATGCAAAAGAAATTTTAAAATTTAATTTGATGAACTATGTTGGAAATTGTCCATCACGGATTTCTAAAATAAAATTTGACTTAGATTTGAAAGTACGTTTGGTTGTAAAAAGAAAAAAAAAAGAGAAGGAAAAAAAATAAAGAGTTAGTGAGCCAATTGGAAAAAAAAGTCTTAAAAATATATATACAAAAAGAGGGAAAAAATGTTTTACATTTTACCATTGTTTTGTTGATCATTGGAATGACAACCAAATTCAGAAGGGGCTGCAGACCTGGAAGAATAAGGATGCTTTATTTCAGTGTCAAACGAAATTTACAACATAAGTAACGTAAAATGTGTTTTTCTTTATTAAAAAAAGGTTAACAATAAATCGTGTAAAACAAAGAAAAGTACATTGTTTAAAAAAATGGTTTTTTTCTTTGTATTCAAGTTTCCAAAATAAATTGCTTAACTTTAAAAAAATTGTGTAATAAGAGACGCAAATGTATAATGTTTGAATTAGCAAAACATACGAAATAGAAAAGTATTTTGATGATATTGTTACTTAAGTAGTTAAATTGTAAGATTGCATAATGGAACCTATCGTTAATTACGACGACGATCATCACTCTGAGGACGAGAGCGTGCAACAGAACGACCACAAGAATATGAACATCAACCAGAACTCCCACACCAAGAGGCGCTGAATGGTGGGCCTGTTGGGGTCCCGCAGATCAACCATACGATGATGATGCAGCTCCTATAACAAGTTTTGATCATGAGTTAGAATGCCTTAGTGCACGTTCGACAACTGGAATTGAGGATCACGCTCGAGAGACTGAAGAAAAACGGCGCTGAAGAATTCCTAGGCAAGAGCATCGCCGACCCGTTGATTGCGTTTAGGTGGATAGAGCGCGTATGATGCATATTCGAGAATTTGAAGGTTCCAGATGGTGAGTGGGCCAATTTCACGGTCATGCTTCTACAGAGTAATGCGTACGAGTGGTGGAAGTGCACTACTCAAAATTCGAATCATCCAGCAAAAGTGACGTGGGCGTACTTCGATCAAGTGTTCAAAGAGGAGTATATTCCCGAGTCGTTTGTGGAAGAGAAAAGCGAAGAGTTTCTACATCTGGAGATGGGTACGATGAGTCTTCCTGAGTATCGTCAGCTGTTTGATCATCTCGCTGAGTTTGGCCAGGATTTGGTGAACACCAGACGTCGTTGCGATAAGTTCGTGAAGGGCATGCGCCCGAAACTTCAGAAGCACATGTCTACTGCATCTAGGAAAGATTTTGGACTCATGTACGAGCAAGCAAAAGAGGTTGTTAGAACGAAGGAAGGATTGAAGCTGAACACTAAGCAGAAGCCAGCCAAGACATCCACACAAGCAGCTAGCACCAAGAAAAGGGAAACAACCTAGGCATCCCTTGTGTACCCGTTGCAATCGCTATCATCCAGGAGAGTGCTGGTTGTTAGTCTTATGGGGGACCATCGATCACCCTTAGGGATTCGCTACTGTGTTTGTCACGGTATCGGGTATTGACAGCCCAACCTGACGAGGTACATGAGTCGTGTATCTTGCGAAGCCCCTCCTGTCCATCCACCGCTCAGTAGTGGGGCTCCGCACTGTCGTAGTGAACTATAGAGGGTGCCCTATAGGAATCTACCTCGGCTTGGGACTCAAAAAGAGATGTGGTTAGATACAAAGTGTCCACCTCCCTATCACCAATTGGTTTTAGGAAGCATTTGGCACCTCTTTAACTTCAGAACTCTGTAGTTAAGCGTGCTAGAACGGGAGTAGTCCCAGGATGGGTGACCCACTGGAAAGTTCTAGAAAACGATCCTACAAGTGGTATCGGAGCGAGGAAGCAGGCTTGAATCCCCCGAGTGTCGCTGGGGGGAGATTGTTGGTCTTGTGGGGGACCATCGATCACCCTTAGAGCATCTCCAGTGTAGAGGCTATATGCTAAAATTTACACAATTTACACTTTGTGTTTAACTTATTGACACTCCAAGGGAGAGGGTAAAACAAATGCTAAAATACAATATAGGGTAAAATACAATTGGCAAAGTCTATATATACAAGTTGGTTGTAGATAGGGATATGAATAAATGTAAAGTATGGAGTATATTATACAAAACATGGTTGGAGTAGGTATTAAAAAGTGGAAGTGTAAAATAATGTTAATAGTATAAAATGTAATTTACACTACCAATTTTTACACTATACATTAGAGATGCTCTTAGGGATTCGCTGCTGTGCTTGTCACGGTATCGGGTATTGACAGCCCAACCTGACGAGGTACAAGAGTCGTGTATCTTGCGAAGCCCCTCCTGTCCATCCACCGCTCAGTAGTGGGGCTCCGCACTGCCGTAGTGAACTATAGGGGGTGCCCTATAGGACTCTACCTCGGCTTGGGGCTACAGAGAGATGCGGTTAAATACAAAGTGTCCACCTCCCTATCACCAATTGGTTTTAGGAAGCATTTGGCACCTCTTTAACTTCAGAACTCTGTAGTTAAGCGTGCGGGAACGGGAGTAGTCCCAGGATGGGTGACCCACTAGGAAGTTCCAGAAAACGATCCTACACTGGGGGACGTTAGTGTTGGAAAACATTTTCACTTTGACATTTTGCTAGTGACAATGTTTGTTTCTGTTTAGGTTTTGATATTGACAAATCGTCGGGAACATGGAACAAAATGAAAAGATTCAAAGAGATAGAAAAATTTCTTTGAAGAAACAAAAATTACAAGAAAGGCATTGACGTTGCTAAAGATGGCGACATTGACGCTTTGAAGACGTTTTCTAAAGACTTAGGTTTTTATTGTAACGAGCGCATTCAATTTCTCTACGTCATGGATAAAAAAATATGTTTTTCATGCATCAAATGAGTGTTTTCATAAATTCTTTTTAAGTTTCTAAAATCAATGGTTCTTGCTTAACCAAAACTATAACCATCAGTTATCGGCGTTCGGCTATAGCGTTCAGTTTTCGGCATTGGTTATTGGCATTGATTTTAACCAAATGGTTTTTGGGTTTTTATCTTTGGTTTATGCTTCTGGACACATTTAAAGGTTTTCCAAATGATTAGTTTTCAAAAACCATAACCTCTGTTTTTCGGCATTGGTTATCGGCATTCGGTGCTGGTTATCGGCGTTGGTTTTTGGCGCCCAAATCAATCAAGTGGTTTTTAATATTTTATGATTGGTTTTTACTTATGGGCATATCCAAATAGTTCTCCAACAAAAACATGTTAAAAACCACCTTTCGTTTTTGGTCTTTTGGTGAAAACCATGTGAAACGGCATAAACTTGGCTAGCCGTGATTTTTACTTTAATGAAGTGGTTTTTAAGTTTTTATACTTGTTTTCTACATAAAATATATTATATAAGAGTTTCCAACATTTGGTTTTCATTTTGGAGAACTTTAGTTTTTGACATCGGTTTTCGGCGTTGGCAGCCAAACCATGGTTCTGGCGACCAGAACCAACATAGATGTTGGATATTGAACATAGATGTCTGAACAGAGATGTTGGGATTTGGACATCGATGTCTGAACAGCAATGTTGGGATTTGAACATCTATGTTTTGGCCAGGTTAGCTCACATCAGTCTGGGGCAGTAGGTTTTTGAACAGCGATGTTCATTGTTGAACATCGATGTTTTCAAATGACCGTTGGGCTATTTAAGACAAAATCTTTCCATTTTTGAAAGTCAAACACCCCAACATCGATGTACACTTCTAGACATCGATGTTTTGATGACCGTTAGCCATTTTTAAAGGAAAGTCAAAGCCAAAACAGTGATGTTCACTTTATGAATAGCGATGTTAGGCTAAAATTATGTAGACCAACTTTGATTTGATTTCCACAAATCATGCCATTAAACCTCAATCAACTCCCATCCGTTACACATCATTTTTGGGTATAAATAGAGGTCTTTTGGGTCTACTTTTCACAACCATTCCTCACACATTTCATAGCTTTACATTGCATCATTCCATAAACTTTTTACATAGCTTTTTAGAGCCATTTCTTGAGGAATTGAGTGTGTTCTTGATCTAAATTGGTTTACTCATATTCTACTCTTTAAGAGAGTTCTTGTTATTGAGTGGTCAAGTGTTGTGAACACTTTAAGGGAGGTTTGTTCCCTTGGTTGTACGAAGGAAGGGCATATTCCTTTGGATTGAAGTCTTGGAGTGCGGTATCTCCGAGCAACTATATTGAGGCTCGTGGGACTCGAGTTCTCAGGTTGTAACGGTTTGTTAAGCACCCGTAAGCTTAACGAGAAAGTAGTGTAGCTCGAGAGAGTCTCTTGGGAGGCTGGACTAGCCACATTTTGTGGTGAACCAGGGTAAATTCGGTGTGCCTCTTACTCTTCTCTTTTCTTCTCCTTTAAATTTTTTATTCCTGCGATTTCTACGATCAAACGCTATTCACCCCCCTCTAGCGTTGGTCTTTTATTCTAACAGCTAGGACTGTGCACGGGATGCAGGCAAGTTGGTCATCAAAGGAAGAATTATCCTACAAGTCTGGGTCCTGCATTTTCTACCACTCACGTCTCGAATCAGTCACAAATAGCAAACGTACGTATGGGCATTTCCAACTCAGAGTCAACGTACGGCAGCAGGATCTCATGTGCAACGACCTTAGCAGCAACGACCGCCGCAAGTTGCGACACAACAACATGCTAGAGCTCTAGCTAGGACATACGTTATGCATGGGCAAATCGATCCTAATCCAGATGCCGACTATGGTACATTCTTATATGCATCGTAGGTATACATAGCATTATATGATCCCAACTTAGGTATGTATCGTGAACGTACTTTCCTATTTGATTACACGTATGGTTGCGAAAGGAGTGATAACGATTTCCCTACGATGCCAAGGGATCCGCGCGAATTCAGTGTCTTTGTCTATTTCAGCGACAAGGATGCAAAGGAATTTCGAGGACGAAATTCTTCTAATGGGAAGAGAAATGTAATGTCCTAACATATACCCTAGAAATTCATAATGAATTTTTAATAAATCATAATTCTAATTTTTGTTTAAATTAAATAAACGTCAAACGAAAATGTTAAAATAAGATATTTTAAAAAGAATCTTTTAATCGTCAAGATTATACTCGAAACGAAGGTCTCAATGGAACGAGTTCAACGACATGTCCCGCACACGAATCCAAGTTATGAAAGTTGGGGGTTGACTGTCTCAAAACCGAAAAGATTATAACAAAAACAAATAAAATACAAATATGATGTAAACATAACATTGTCCAACGAAATTTGGATTTTTGGATACGTCTCGAAAAAAGGTGACCAACGGCATATTGTTTGTCAAGTTTGGAATCTCGTGTGCACCATGATGAGCGAAAGAGTCAATACAGTTCAATAAATAAATGTAAAGAATTTAGTAATATTAATAAATGACAGGTAAACAAATAGCAGTGCGTTACTTCCCAAATTCCTAAACCCAATCCTAGTAGGTCCAAATCCATTCTTTTTATAAAGCCTGAACCATCGCCTCGCCTATGTCCTTGTTCTTCCGTCTGACCGAAACGAGCCAGAGGGAGTAATCGCCGGAGCATCGCCAGAGTTCGTCGGAGGGAAACCTAGACGGAATTCCGCGGTGCTCTTCATCGACTTAACCAAGGTGAGTGATTTATCTCTCGTTAGAATTAATTCGTAGATTAGGATTCGTTAATGTATTCTTGCCAATTGAAGTTGAATTTGTGAATTGAATTGTGAATCTCTTGAATTTGGGGTCGTTGCTTCTGTGCTCTGTTCCGTTCTTTTCCCTTCTTTTCTTATTCGATCCTGTCTTTTCTTCCATACTGCTGCTAATTTTCTCGGTGCGGGTAACTGTTGATGGCGCCGTGCTGAAACAATGATCGGCACTTGAAATTAACCGAATTTGGAGAGTCGCTGCTACTAAGTTGGTGCTGTTGTCACCGCCTTGCTCATTCTGTCTCGCAGGTGCTCATCCGCTGGTTTGTGGAGGAAGAGGGCAGATCCTACATGTAGCTTATGTGCGGAATTAGGATTTAGTTTTAAGAATGGTAATTGGGTCACCTAATTTCCGACTTAAAATCTCATCCAAATTTGTGATTTGTGAATTGGGCCATTATTATAACGCCCTGAGACCCGATCTATTAGAATTGATAAATTTAATTATTACTAACTCGGACTGGGGTTTGGGAAAATAAACTCCTTAGAAAAATTATTCAATCACGTCATAATATTCGTCTTGACTGTCTGATTCCATAAACGCAAACGGATCTCAATTCAGACCTATTCGGGAAAAAATCGCGTAACGTTCAGGTTAGATTTTAACACAACGAAATGAATTAAGGGAGATAACTCCCCATTTATTCCTACAGGCCACTCCCTCTCCCTCACCCTAACATTTATTCACCATTTATTCTCCTCAATTACTCCCCTTCAATTTAAACACCTTCCCTATCCATTTCCCTTACATTCCCTTAGCAATTGTAACCCCCAAACACCCATAACTCCCTCACTCCCTCTTCCTCTTCCCTTGGTTTTTTCTGGCCGGCCAGCGAGCAGTCAAGGGGAGGCTTCTGGCGAAAAGGAAAAGAAGAAGGAAGAAGAGAAGAAACACGTAAGGTCATCTGTCGATCGTTCGTCATTGTCATCCGTTCGTTCACCACGTACCTTCTGTTGATCCATGCGTTAGAGGTGAGTACGTTGCCCTCTAACTTTAGAATCTGTAGTTCAATCATATCGTTATATTCATAGGACTACCCGGCTAAACCTACGTGTATCCACGTTATCATGACTTTACGTTATTTAGACTTTTCGACTATGAACTCGTTGATATAAACGTTTTGGAACTCCATAGATTCATATCTTACTTAACGTGAAAATATAAACGTTCATTTCTAAAACTACCAATGTAATGATCATAATCAAACAGTCAAAAACGAGAATCTGCGAGCCATGATAATCGATTTACAGGTCATGGTAATCGATTAACAAGCTACGCTGCAGATTCTTGAGTCAGAGCTGGTTCACATGATAGTCGATAATCACATAAGCATCACTCGATTATCAGGCCTCTCTGAACTTGGGTTTCCTAGACAGAACAACTTGACAATCGATTGTCAAAAGGGTGGCATGCAATCGACTATCACAGTCTGTAGGACTTTGGGAACATATGTAACACCCTAATCCGTCCAGGTTTGCAGCCCCTTTCGGACTAACATATTAACTTGGTAATCGTAAAATTTAAAAATTTTAAACACTTTTATTTATTATAATAATTATTTTTATAGCAGAAACAGTACAGAGTTTTCAATATTGCGGAAGCTTAACAAATCATAATCACTAACATAATTTATTTATATTCTTCAATTCAAAATCATCACAGCCAGTCCGACTATCTCGCCTCCGTCTGCCTCCAGGATCACGTCATAACATTCTTTCTATTAACCTGCATGTAGCAAATAAAGCACACTACACGCTCAACGGTAAAGCTGAGTAAGCATATCTAAAGCATCGAACATCCACATAAATTGAATCCCAATTCATAATCAACCATTTGATATCATGCACATAATGTTCAGTTCGAATTTTCATTTTTCAACAATCATTGTTCCATATTCAACATTCATTTTCATATTCAACATTCAACATTCAAATTCAATATTCAACATTCGTATTCAACAATATCCTTAAACTATTCTTAGTCTAAGGCCAATCTTTTTCATATTTATCGATCCTCAAACGAATTCTAGTTTAAGATATTTCTAATTAATTCTTAAACTATATTCTAGTCTAAGGTACTTTTATCCAATCCTTAAGCTAGGCCTAGTTTAAGATAAACTTACCTTCGCTTAAGGTCAACCAGAAACCGGACAGCGGAATGCTCACTGTCGGGTTGGGTGGTATCCCCAAACGAGTTCCTCTAGTTTGGTTTGTAGATCTCGTACGTACGTTTTAACCCAGGCCACCGAATATTCAAAATTATACCCGCAAGGCCTATTTCTAAGCCATCTTAGAGGTCTTCTAGATAGTCTTAGAAACCAACATCAATATATCTTAGAGTTCTTCTAGATATCCTTAATAGTTATTATATTATCAATTCCAAATGGATATATATATCTTAGAGTTCTTCTAGATATCCTTAACAATACAAATCATTTCATAATCATCCACTACAAGAAAACAGTGATTTCAAGACACTAAAAAAGTGTCATGTATGATATACAATGACATATAGAAGAAGTGTCCTCTATTTAGAGGTCATTGTAACTATTAAACAAGGACACATAAACCGTGTCCTCTTTTCCACACGAGGACACACCAAAATCTCCTAAAAAAGGTGTTCTTAAATACATATGAGGACACCTAAAATGTGTCCTCTTTTTTTTAATTTAGGACACTATTGTGTCTTAAAAAGCTATAAAAAGGCGTCCTTAAAATCATAATAAGACACCTAAAATGTAGCTTGATATTTCGTAACTCACGTCCTCTTGTTATTAGAATGTAGACATTATGTTATGACAAATATAATAGAAGCATTAATATCATCATTCTAATTTTCATTTCAATCGACAAAGATAATACAAGACTACCAACTTTACAAAGTAAACTACCATGCTAAATTTTTTTAGACAAAATTGCCATGCTAATTTAATTTAAAGTTTTTACACAATAAACAAATCCAAGAGATATCGCTACATGAGATATAAATTAAAAAAATGATGATTTTGATGTCACAAAGCTTGACTGGATGAGGCTCTTTGACTCCTAAACTCCATTGTTAAGCATCTCCACTAGAGACTTTTGGCCATCCAAGACTCCCTAAAAGTTGGCTATCTCGGGAATCTCCTCTTCAAATGTACAATACCACAATGAAGTCTGGACTTCAAATCTGCCAACTGGTATCCCATCTTGTCGACATAATCAAAGATTAACTCAGCAAACAATTACCCCTAAAAAACATAAATCTAGATTAGTAGAAGCTAACAAACTATTGGATGGCTCGGATTAGGCTTGTCCACAAAGCTTTGATCCTGTAAATAGTGTGAAAGATCATTGATTAAAGTACTCCAAATCCTTATCTACCTATCTATAGAAAATCCATATAAGAGAGGCAAACTTGCAAGTGGTTGTTTAGCACCTTTATATCTTTCTAGAATTGATGAAGGAATATAATCCTGAAGACCGCCAAAAAGATAGGGAGACCTGCATATATCCTCAGGCACTAAATCACCTCTCGTACACAACTGCAACCTTGGAATTATTGATATAAACAAAACAACAGTTGCATCTTATCTGGATCAGCTTCTATGAACAAAAGAAAAGTTAAATATGATTAAACTTAACAAAGAGAATATTATATCCACCCTAGAGAATAAGAAGTTGGTGGTTATTTTTGGTCATATCTTTTCCTTTGTTTTTGCACACCACAAGGCGCATATCTGCAAATTTTCTCCATGATCTTATAGTTTGAATCCACTTTCTCCATTACTAGTAAGTCAAATGAATAAAAATATCCACATTCACATGGATAAAAATAGAAAAGAACTCATTACAGCTCGACCACAAGCCCATTGGCCTCAGACCCTTATATATTAATCCCTTATATATTAATGCTGAAAGAAATCACCTATCCATACTCATTATTGTCACCATCACCATTTTCAACGTCACCCTCCCTGTCATCCCTATAGGGCATCAACATTAGTATCCTCATCATCAAATTCATCAATATAAAAATCAATTTTGGATTGGATGAATGACTACATTTCACTTAGCACATCTTCAAAATCTAGGCTTATAAAAACGTTTTGCACCCACTAACTATATACTTAAATAAAAGATGTAAAAGCATAAGAAAGTTCGTTTGAGATGTGCAATAACCAAGAAAAAATAAGCTTTATGCCATACCACAATGTTTTCTTTGCATTTTGCAGAAGGTTTTCTTCATCAATTACTTAAAGAAAATGCCAAACAAAAGTTAATCTCTAAATTTGACATGAAAAGGAATTTAAAACTGAAAAGAATGTGATATCTTACTTTCCATGTTCATCAGTTACATAAGGCACATATTGACAGTTAATGTTCTCATGTGCTTCTTGCTGACTACACCAGTAAACAAAAATGTTGCTTAACTGTTAACCTGCAAATCACAATTTGAAAGAAGTATTAACTAATTTTAGCTCACCAATTACAATAATCAATATTTAGAGATAAGAGCTGCAAAAAAACCCAGTCCTATTCCAGTACTCCTCCAAGATCAAACCTTGTTATTGCGAAGAAATGGTGGAGTTTTCCTGTGTCGAAGAATTGAGACCTTTTCGCTTTGCAATCACCATTGTCAATCCTTCCTTGACGTGAACCCTAGATCACTCCTCTCCCAATACTTTAATGTACAAAGTATGGAGTATAATTTTATTTTGCATATAGGTGTCCTTCAAAGTTTCCCAAATTCATATAAAATTACTTTTAAATAAAGAGTGTCTTAAGAACTAGTAATTTTTTGATTGAACATAACACAAAAAGCGAATTTCATAGTTTCATTGAACTCAAAATAATAAATAAGTAAAAATGTTTTGATTGAACATAACAACACAAAAAGCACACATATTATTGGATTTCGAGCAGAATCAAATCAACCATTCAATA